ATAACTATAACTATACTACATTATAACTACAACTACAACTATAACTATAACTATACTACATTATAGCTATAATAAACTATAGATATAACTACATTACACTTATAATACACTATAAATATAACTAAACTACAACTATAATACACTATAACTATAACTATACTACACTACAACTACACTATAACGATACTACACTATACTTCACTATAATTACAATAGACTATAAATATAACTATATTACATTATACTACACTATAACTATAAAACACCACAACTGCAACTATACTACACTATAACTATAATACACTACAACTATAATTCACTATGCCTATAATTATACTACACCACAACTGTAATACACTATAACTATACTAAGCTATAACTATAACTATACTAAACTATAACCATAACTATACTGCACTATAACTACAACAATAACTATACTACACTATAACTATTACTACAACTATACAATAATACACTATAGTTATAATAAACAATAGTTATAACTACACTACACTTATAATACATTATAACTATAACTACACTTCAACTATCTATAACTATAACTATACTATATTATAACTACAACTATAACTATACTACACTACACTACACTACAACTATAATACACCATAATTATTAATATGCTACACTACAACTATAACACATTAAAACTATAACTATACTACAACTATAACTATACTACATTATAACTATAACTATAACCATACTATACTATAACTACAACTATAATTATACCACACTATAACTATAATACATTAGAATTATAACTACACAACAACTATAATACACTATTACACTATAACTATAACTATTATAATACACTATAACTATAACTATACTACACTACAACTATAATATACTATAACTATAACTACACTACAACTACAATACACCATAACTATAACAATACTACACTACAACTATAATACACTTTAAATATAACTACACTACAACTATACTATACTCTAACTATAGCTATACTAAACTATAACTATAATTATAACTATACTACACTATAACTACAACTATAACTATACTACACTATAACTACACTACAATATAACTATAACCGCAACTATAATTATGTTACATTATACTACACTATAGCAATAATAAATTATAGCCATATCTACACTACACTTATAATACACTATAACTACACTGCAACTATAATACTTTATAACTATGACTATATTATACTATAACTAAAACTATAACTATACGACAATATAACTATAATACAATATAATTAAAACTATATTACACTACAACTATAATGCATTATAACTATAACCACACTACAACTACACTACACTATAACAATAATTATAATCATACTACACTATAACTACAACGATAACTATACTACACTACAACTATAATAAATTTTATATATAACTACTCTACAACTATAATACACTATAATTATAACTATACTGCACTACAAGTATAGTACACAAAAACTATAACTATAATACAACTACAATACAACTACAATACACTATAACTAAAACTATACAAAACTATAACTATAATTATACTACACTATAACTACAACTATAACTATACTACACTATATTATACTATAACTACAACTATGACTATAGTACACTATACTACACTATGGCTACAATAAATTATAATTATGGGTCCGTTTGGGGCAGCTTATAAGTGTGGGAGCCGTTTTGAAAACGCCGCCATACCGTTTGGTTCGCGCTTTTCGCCAGCTTATCCGAAACTGCGTTTGGGTTTTTACACTAAACGCAGGCCGCGGGCCAACCCATGCGGCCGGCCCGCGGGCCGCGTTTCAAGATAAGCAGCTTATCCTGAAACGCACAAGCTGCCCCAAACGGACCCTATAACTACACTACACACATAATACACTATAACTATAACTACAATACAACTATAATACACTAATAATAACTATACTACACTATAATTATAACAATAACTATACTACACTATAACAAAAACTATAATTAAACTACACTACAACTATAATACATTATAACTATAACTACACTACAACTATAATATACTATAACTATAACAATTCTACACTACAACTATAATACACCAAAATTATAACTATTCTAAACTATAACTATACTACACTATAACTACAACTATAACTATACTACACTACAGCTATAACAAATTATAGTTATAACTACACTACACTTTTAATAAACTATAACTATAACTACACTACAACTACACTACACTATAAGTATAACTATACTAAACTATAACTATAACTATACTATAACTATAGCTACAGCTATAACTATACTATACCATACTACACTATAACTATTACTATAACTATAACATTACTATATTATAACTACAACTATAGCAATATTACACTATACTACACTATAACTATAATTATAACTATAACTATAATTATAATAAACTACAACTACAACTATACTACACTATGACTATAACTTATAATTAAAACTATAATATTACTAAACTATAACTACATTATGCTACAGTATAACTATAATTAAAACTATAACAATAACAATAGTAAATTATAACTACAACTATAATTATACTACCCTATAACTATAATTATAGGTACACCACAATTATAATACACAATAACTACAATTATAACTATAACTATAACATTACTAAATTATAACTACAACTAAAACTATACTACACTATACTAAACTATAACTACAATAAGGACTATATTACGCTATAATACAATATAACTATACTACACTATACTTATAAATATAACCACATTACACTATAAATACAACTATAACTATACTACAACATAACTATAATTATAGCAACTATAGTACACGATACTACATTATAACTACAACTATAAATATACTACATGATAACTACAACTATAACACTACTAAACTATAACTACAACTATAACAAAACTAAATTATACAACACTATAACAATAACTATAATTATAATACATTATAACTACAACAATAATTATACTACACTATAACTATAACTAAAATTACAATTATAACATTACTAAACTATAACTATAACTATAACTATGCCATATTATACTACATTATAATTATAATTATAACTATAACTACACTGTACTATACTATAACTATAATTATAACTATGTTTATAACTATAACTACAACTATAATATACTATAAATAAAACTATACTACACTATAACTATAAAAATAATTATAATAGACTACAAATATAACTATAACTACAACTATAACTATAATTAAAACTATAACTATAACTATAATATTACTAAACTAAAAATACAACTATAACTATACTATAACAATGATTATAACTATAACTACGACTATAATACACTCTAATTACAACTATAATACACTTTAATTACAAATACAACTATACTACACTACAACTACAAATTTAATAAACTATAACTACAATTATGACTATACTACAATACAACCTTAATCCATTATAACACTAAACATAACTCATCAATCATTTTTATGATTCATTATATATCTTTTCACATAATTATTGTCAGTTTTATGAAAATATCTTAAAACTAAAAAGTTAAAACAATCCATTCAAAATCTAATAATTTTTTAAAGAAGCTTCCTCTATAGGCTCATCAACTAGAGAAGCAAATATCCAAAAAATGAAAACTGACTGCACATGATTGAGCAGAAGCATACAATTTTTGAATATAATGAATAAATTTTTAACAAATATTATATAAACAATAAAGATAATATTATTTATATATCAAAATATGAGTATAGTATAAACAATATGAACAATATTTTTTTATTTGAGCAACTTTTCAACATATAATTTATAACTAATATTTTGGTCTCTTTTCTACTCTCCCTTGCTCACTTTCTTCATTTCCTCTTCTTTATCTTTCTTAAAGTTAACTCTTAGCCTAATGTCAAACATATAATTTTAGACTTAGTCTGGCTATCTCTAAATAAACAAGGGAATCATACCATGTATGAGGAGAAGGAGGAAGGTTTTTGGCTCTTTTCTCTAGAACCATCTTCTGCAAGATTTCTATCTCCTTATCTCACAATCGTTATATTTTATATATAAAATGAGTCAAAAAGTATGGTGATACCTCAAAGAGATGAGTCTATGTGTGTTAATTTATTTATTTTTCCTTTCTATATTTTGTTCTTTTTCTCCATATCACGCTGATCATTGGGCATGCAGCACGGAACAAATTTAGATTCAACACGCCAATTGAAAGATTTTCCCAATAGCTTTGCCACTAAAACATTTATTTTCCTTCACTATTCTCTCCGATGAGTACCTCTAGCTCACGTTGTCTCTTTTGGTTTCTCTTCTACTTTCTCCTGTTCTCAAACTAACCTTTTGCTTTTTGTTTTAAAAGATGCTTCAAGAGATTAGACTTTAAATATTGAAACCCTCAATTCTTGAAATATAACCCTTTATATTTGAAGCTCAAATGGAAAGGCAGACAAGTTTAGAATGAAGAGGGTTAATCAAAGTGTCTTGTTTCAGTTATGTTGGACTTTGCATAACCAACCACCTTATATAGAAGTTAACACCTTGACTATCAACTAATTTAAATGATTTTAGATGTCATTTAAATGGATTTTAAAAAAAATGCCAGCAACATCAAATGAAAAGCCAATGGTGACAACCAAACGTAGAAATCACAGTAATCAAAGTAATGCATCACAAGTGAAAATAAACTTTCCACTATATCCAAATTTATCTCTTGAGTAATGCGCATTCATCTCTCTTTACAACTTCGAACTAGAATAAATATCTCAACCACATAAATTCTGCATTTTTTTTTGTATATTACACTTACAATTTATTTTTTCTCGCTTATAAAAACATCATTTTTCTTATTGGCATGATTTTTCTGAATAAAATACGCGCAAATCCTGTGAGATCTAACATTAGTTAAAGGTTAACGTGGAGTTCAAGAATTAAACGTCCAAACATATCAATCGCAAAATAGCTGAACATTCGATCAAACACCATAATTATATCATTGGATGAGTTAATAAATGATGCACCCAACAAAGCAAACATAATATCATACCCCTATAATGACATTAAAAACTTACGAAAATTAATAATGAGAAGATTACAGATCAAAGTAGGCATCAGAAATCGTCATCCAGTTTGAACTCATGAATGATGCCATTATAGTTTAAGCTTGACATCACCGACGCCTTCTGGTATTCACCGACCCTTTTCTCGAAGAAGTTTGTCTTCCCTTGAAGAGAAATAAGCTCCATCCAGTCAAATGGATTCGATACCTCGTACATCTTACCGTAACCTAAAGCACCAAGAAGACGATCGGCAACAAACTCTATGTACTGACTCATTAGATCAGCGTTCATCCCCACAAGAGGAGCGTCACAAACAAACTCCCTCTCTATATCTACAGCATCAGCAACAATCTCTCTAACCCTATCCTCAGAGAGCTTATTATTGAGCAGACTGTACAGCAGACACGCAAAGTCACAGTGCAGGCCCTCATCACGAGAAATAAGCTCGTTGGAAAAAGTGAGACCAGGCATTAGCCCTCTCTTCTTCAGCCAGAAGATGGCGCAGAAACTACCAGAGAAGAAGATGCCCTCAACGCAAGCAAATGCAAGAATTCGCTCTGCAAAAGAATCGGAGGCGTCGATCCAGCGGAGAGCCCACTGTGCCTTGCGGGCGACGCAGGGAACGGTCTCGATAGCATGGAAGAGGTGCGATTTCTCTGCGGAGTCTTTGATGTAGGTTTCGAGAAGCAGGCTGTACATCTCGGAGTGGATGTTTTCGATGGCGATCTGAAATCCATAGAAAGCGCGCGCCTCCGGGAGCTGTACCTCCCGCATGAAGCGGCCAGCGAGGTTCTCTAGAACGATTCCGTCGGAAGCGGCGAAGAAAGCGAGAACGTGGGTTACGAAATGCCGTTCGTCGGAGGTGAGGGATTCATTCCAGTGGCGGAGATCTTGGGACAGATCAACTTCTTCTGCTGTCCAGAAAGAGGCTTCGGCTTTCTTGTACATCTCCCAGATCTGAGGGTAGCGGATCGGAAACATGCAGAAGCGGTCAGGATTTGGAGCAAGGAGGGGCTCCTCCAGCTCCTTGCGGGACTCTGCAACGCCATTAGAGATCGCCAAAGACGGCATTTTCGAATAAGGAAGAAAGGACTCGAAACTGAAAGAGGGAAGAAGATTGGAGGATTTGATAGAGCACAGGAGAAAAATCAAAGTTCGGAATAAATTTATAGAGGGGTTGGGGTTGAGAGATGGAGGGAAGGTGAATTGAGGATGTTTAAATTTCGTTTTTGAATTGCCGGGGAGTCTTGCAACGCAAGATGAAGAATTTCTAGGAACCGCTCGGTGTGGTTACCGTTCTATCCATATTTTTTGAGAAATAATTATATCTAAATATTTTTCCGCGATCTATAGCCGTGAAATATATTTCAAAACTATATTATAAATATTTGAAATTAAAAAATAATTTAGCTATTAGTTAAATAAATTTACTTTATGGGACTAAATTTATATACGAATATCTTTTATTTTTTAAAAGCATTTATTAAATGATTTTAGAGAATGTTTTCGCAGTGTGGGTTACGAATGCAGCGAATGAGCTTTTGCCCAACATGCGCGCGGGTACATAAGCGGCTATATATATATAAACTGGCGTGCGTTCGAAGCTACGAATTTGAAAAAAAAAAATGTTTTTGGGTGCATTTGAAAATAGCTCTGATTCTCATGTGGCCGGGACAGCGTCGGTAGTTTTGCTACTAATTATCGAATCAATTTTTGGCGCAAAAATCATGTCGCGGGACGGATTTTTAGGCGTTTAACTGAAATCTGAATTTAAGTTAAATAGTATTAATTAAATTCAGTAAATCCTATGTGATGGAGATGAGCATGGGATCGAATCATGGTTATATAAAATTCTTAAATTTTTCTTAGAAATATAACGTTGGAAAGTATAGATTAAAGTGAAAAAAATTGGTTTTACAAAACATTGAATTTAATTTCAATTTTTTTTATATCTGATTTGATTTGCTCTAAATTCATAGCTAAATTCTATTTAAATTGCGTTATTGCTACCAAACACCACCTAAGTTTCGGCCCATATTGGTTATGGTAATTGTCATTATAAAGTTTAGCTGAATATTTTGATTTAAATTGATTTTGATTATATATATAACGC